TTAAAAAAAATCAAAGCAAACTTTCCTGTGTTTTTCAAAAAACACAGTGGTTTTTTTAACCACTGTTTAAAATGATACCAAATAAATTTTAGTCGATTTCAAGCAAATGCTTGGCAGTTGAGTGGTAAAGGCACTTGCCTTGTATGCATTCTTTGGGTTTGAATCTGGGAGCGGGGTTTTCGGGTGTGTATGTCGGTGTTTCTCTTCTTGTGAGCAAATAGCCAGAACAGTTAGAATAAGGACTGGTTAGGGTTATGGCCAGAATTAGGGAGCATCAGGTGCAGGAAAGGTCCACAAAAATTTATTGTCTGAAATGTGAATGTTATATGTACACATCCACAATGTTGTGTTAGATTAACCGGTTGAAAATTGCCCTGTGTTAGACAGAGTAAAATAATAAAGTAGGGTACAATTAATGCAACTTAATGGGTTAATAGCCATAACATTGGGATCTGGTGTCTGCTGAATATATCCATTGCATTAAAAAAATGCTTATCCTCAAATCTAGTTTAATTAGGGTGATGCGGTTTTTCGGTAAACCAGAAAAAAACTATTTTTTTTTAAAACCGAATTAGTCGATGTTACTTTTGGAGAAAAACCGGAAAAACCGAAAAAACCGGGAAGAAACGAAAAAAAACGAAGAAAAATCGGTATTTTACTACTTTCTGGAGTTACCCGTTGAAGATGAAGATGTCCTGCCCGTGCCTGTTGCAAAGAAAGCCAAACTCAGTCTTGGAGCGTTGACGAGCCTCAAGAAATCTGAGAAAACATCGTCGTCGCCCGCTGCATCCCCGCGTAGCCGTCTATCCAAAGAGATTGACCGCTATATCTCGGCATTCCCAGTGATAGACGGAGATGACGATCCACTTCAATGGTGGAAATTAAATGCAAAGGAACTACCGTTGCTCTGCCAGTTATCGAGAAGGTATCTTGCCATCCAAGCAAGCAGTTCGCCGTCGGAGAGACTTTTCAGTAAAGCGGGGCAAGTTAGCACGCCGGCACGAGCACAACTTAAACCGGAGAAAGTTGACAAACTTGTGTTCCTGGCGGAGAACTTATAGTGGTTTACGCAATATTTCAATATTTGTACATAGTTTATTGTAAAAATTATATCTTGTACACTGCATGTTCCTTTCATACTTCGTAGCAAGGGTTAATATAATTGTTTTTTAAACCGAAGTCTTGCGTGAGTACTGAGTAGCGTGTTGTGTCTTTTTTACCTTAGTTTCGATTTTCGAACGTATTTTTTTAAAAAACCGGTTCACTCGTTTTTTTTTGGTCGGTTTTCGTTTTTTTGTAGAAACCGCCTCACCCTAAGTTTAATAAAAAAATACTTATAAATCCTAAAATCTAGGCTTTTTGCATTATACGAACACACACTTATCAAGTTGTTATTAACTCCGAATATGGAGAAGTGATGGGAGTTGATTGGTGAACACTGCAACAGACACAGATAGTAACCTTTTTGACCCAAATTGGTTTTGGTAAAATGGCTGGTAAATTACTAAAAAAATTTTACTAGTAATCTAGTATTTCTTAAATATAGCAGGAGATGGCTATTTTATGATAGGCATTTTGTGATATACTATACATTTATAGATTATCAACAACTCTATTAGATAGTAAATCACGACAATCGAAGAACGGCCAATACGTTGCAACAACACTACAGCTGATGATTCATCACAAGTGAAATACAACCATCATGAAAAAAGCATATAAAACCGTGGAAAATATTACCTGACAGCATACAAGGAAAATAAAAAGTGTAATCGCTGTCCATAATACTTTTTCACGAAACTGAATCTGAAAGAATGGAATTAAAAATTCGTTCATACGTGGATGTTTATACTTCGCCTTCGAGCCATCGAACTATCGAGTATCAAATACGAATATATTTGATACCAAATATTAAATTATAAACATATAAGACGGTAGATGTAGTTTTCTTATCATTGTACTGACAACAGAATTTAACTTACTCGTCTTTCTGGTTTCGCAACTTCAGGAAGAATTGAAATAAAAGGTCGAAGAACCTCTAAAAATTTCACTAAAGGTAGAGTAGAAACAGTGGTCAGCGAGGGGGCCGATATTCGGCGTTTTTACAGCGCAATCGATGCCTTAGTAAAATCACATTTTAGTCTGATTCTTACCTCCCATTTTAAAGGTTCCTCTGTTGGTTATTTAACGAGAATTTTGTAGAAAATGTCTGGTAAGTTTTCTACAACAGACCAACAATCAAGTGTTTAGTATCAAAGAGAACTTTACATGTGAATTCAAACATACGTCAGCTTAGTCAGCCTCGTTTTCATGCGGGTGCTTCCACCACGTTTATAAATCTTTCTATTTCTTTTATCCAAATTTCCTTTAATAAAACTGACTAAAACTGTTGCATGCAACCAACCTACTTTATACAACACGCAGGGTCGGAACTAGTGGGGTTGGGGGTAGCACCCCAAAAAAATTCAAAAGGGGGGTCCAACTTGCCCAGAGGGGGCCCGGACGGAATGCTGGGAAAATTGAGGAAAAATTGAGGTCGAAAAAGGTCTAAAAAAGTATTTTAAGCCCCCATTATCTGAAACTAGTGTTCGGAAATTTTTTTGGGACGCTCTGTTTTCGTAAAAAACCACCGGAAAAATTTTTCTTTCCGTAAATTTTTTTTTGAGGGGAGGAGCGAAAGGAAGGGGGGCCAAATTTTTTAATTAACCCCCCTCCCCAACCAGATACCGTTCGGGACTGTCCTGACAACACGAGCTGTACCGTTTAAACCCTCTGGTTTAAAGTAAGGCCCAAGCACACAGCTCGACCAATGCAACAACATTGAAAAGGGGTCGACGTTTTCTTCAAAATAGGTATTTGGTGGATCGGCCCCGACAATTTGAAAATGATTGAAGAATGTCCAAATGCGCATGCCATCAATAAAGAGGGAATAGCCAAACTTTGCAATTTTACAAATTTTAACATGCTCTTTCTACCCCGGGTTAGACTTTGCTATTTATAAGTTTCGTTTTATTAATAGATGATTCCAGCTAGGGCCTATATACTAAATTTTGATCTGGGCAAGAAGAAAAAATCCATCACCACAGCTATACTAGTCTCCCTCGTAGACGTTCTTATAGTAGTGAGGGTTAGAGCTATAAGAACGTCTACTACAGCTATACCAATCAACGAGCAATTTTAGAATGGTCGAGAAAATCACTATCCAGTGGGAGTTCAGCATTTCATCATGGTATCCTTTAAATGACTATTTTTTTGAATGAACACAACAGGAGTCGTTTTATACTCAACACTGACCTACAATAACGTCACATAAGCACAAAAGTTGTGACGTCATTTTCACCATGAAAAACGCAAAATCAATTCGTCACACTGAAATGAATATAACAGGAACGCTATACAGTCAGATAAACTAATGCTGTGCTGAGTGGTTATATTACTAACTTAAAAAACAAGCATAAAATCGATGTTTCGAGCGAAGGTCCTTCGACAAGAGTTAGTAGCAGGGTCGGGGAAAATGCATGGGCTTTTATACTAAGAGAATGAAAGCATCACGTGACAAAAAAACAAACCAATTAGATGGATATTTTATTATTTTTGTCACGTGATGCTTTCATACTCTTAGTATAAAAGCCCATGCATTTTCCACGAACCTGCTTACTCAGCACAGCCTTTTCACATTGGTACTACCCACACTGGTACAGGCAGTTTTAGTATATATATTCAGATAAACTGCCTATCTTTTTCTTGAAGCCAAATCTTGATCCTCGTATTTATATCATGATTGACTGCTTGAGCGCTCTTCAAGACCCGAGTGTTTATATCAGGTTTGATTGTTGGGCGCTCGCGTGAAAATACTGGGACTGGCCTTCAAGTTTGGCTTCAAATTTCCGGTTGGAGGTAGCGTTCCAGTTATATTCATTTCAATGGTTAGGCGACAGGAAAATTCGAATCCAGCATGCCATTTACATACATAAATTAAGAAACAGGTTGTCACCGACTTTTATTAGGAAATGCCTCATGAAGTTCGAATTTTCGAAATATCGCCTAGTTTAAAACGAAACATACATTATGGTTGATCAGTATCCAAACGATTATAATATACACACATATACAGTGAAACGTTTTCTATATTCTTTATAAGTTCAGTGATATTTAAATTACTCTAGTTTATAATTTGCAAAACATATATACGCCTTACGTCCTTATCTAATATAAATTCTTTAAGGAATGGATTTATCATATGAAGTATACACATTTTCATGTAACATTGAAAAGTTTAATTCATGATTCAAAGTACGATATTTCATGAACAAAACACAAGACAATACTATATGTCTTTAAGTACTCTGTGTTGGATATCGGTGAATTTTACTTCCAACACAACAATATTATCTCTGTGTAGATTTTGTTAGTTTAACTTCTTCGATAAGTCGTTTCTTTCAAGACCAGTCAAATTTATTTAATTGAGTAAGTTTCTAACTTCTTTATGCATGACACAAAGGAAGTCGACATAACTCTGGCAACTTGGTGATAGTCCTTTGTCTTCAACCAGATAATGCCTAAACCATGGTTCCAGTTTGTCGCGTTGTCTCACGATGGAGAGCTGTGAATGAAGAACACAAAACATTACTGCACGACAGTCGTGAGTAGTCGAGATGGTATTATGATAATTAAATATGTATGCAATGTTTTGTATAGTAATTCAACGACGATAAATAGAATTCAATAAATTAAAACAAATTTATCTCAAAGCATCTAAATAACAATGTGTTAATCATGCATGGTGGCCCTCAATTCTACAGCAATACAGAGTAAGATAGCGTTCATTATGAAAAATGAAAATAATTCTACGGTTTATTAATTGTTATTGGCTATTGCTTATTTAACTTCCGACTAGCCAGGAAACCGAAATACCAGTTCTACGATGCTCGAAATATACCACTGGCAATGCTTGTTGCAAAAATGTTCCATCCCGGAAATATTACGGTTTAGTATAATGTCATGCAGTATTGAAAAATGGTCTTTGAGCATTCTGATTGGCTCCCTTAGTTGTAACTCTGAGGCAATAGTTATTGCTCAGACTACTCTGAGCAGTAATCATTACTTTTCCCAAAAAATGGCTGAAAATCAGACGGAAGTAAATTATTTATGCACATTCGTAAAATAAACACGTGTATTATAGTTGTATTTATAAATAAAACTTTTTGAATACTGAAATTATACAAAAACAATTAGTCGCCTCAGGCTCGGTGATTGTAAGCCTATATTCACTTCACCTTCGACTCGTGAATATAGGCTTGTAATCACCTCACCTTCGGCGACTATTTGTTAAATATACCGCACGTTTAAGTATAATGTTTTCTGTTACATTCCTCATGTTACTACACTCCGGTACACATTATGAACACACATTTTAACAGTGTAAAGAATTAGATTTATACATTTGGAAGACCTAACCAGCCCCCATCCCCCCCCCCCCCC